GGGAAAGAAGCAGAATAACAGAAACACAAAGAAATTAAAAATATATAAACTGAAGGGAAGAAAAAATTGTCAAATATTTATTAAACAGTTTTAGATGCACACACACTCCCTTCAAAACCTAAGTACTAAATTGCTGGATAATTCCAAAATATTCCTTTCCCTCTACTGGTTGTGGGCACATCCAAGTGAGAAGAGGTCCAACATGATAAGGCAGTTGGCACTTGCATTTTGCCTTATAGAGATACTACACTGGAGAGCCATGGGCTCTCCGTGGATCACACACAGCCTCAAGGCACAGGCACCTTTCTGTAGGAAGCTGCAGAAGATGTCCATAAGTTATCAAGCCACAGATTAAATCCTTTTTTAGTTATCTTGTGGCAAATGGATCTGCTGAAAATGAGGGCCTGGGGTGTCTAAGCTTGCTGGGACCCCAGTGAAAATGCTGATCCTGCACCTAGTGGTAACGTGACTGAGTTAAAGACTCACCCAGTGAGAATACCAGTTCACAGCATCTAATTCAGGCAGTTAATTTGGGTGCTCTGACTCACCTCCTGGAGGTTCCTGCTTCACCACTGACTATATAGGAAATGGGGAACCTAAATTTAGATGCTGTGAACGTGGCTGAAGGGAAATAGTGTACCAGCACTGCAGAATACGGCATTTCATAACAAAAACCAGTGAATTTACTCATGATACATGGCGTCCTTGTCTTACAGCAGAGGAGGAGGTTGCTGCCTGCAGAGAGCCCTTTGCGGATGGAAGTCGCGATGGGTGGGAAGTTTGTGAAGGCTCCGGCCCAGCACAAGTACTTCACGCCAGAACCTGTGCTTCTGAGAGCTCAGTCCTTCCTGTGCTGTGAAAGGGTCTGAGTTTCAGAAAGTGCTGCACTTTCTCGCCCCTACCCCCTTCCACTCCAAGTCCTCAAGCTCCTGTGATTAGTCTTGAAAACAGAAACTGGAAATTTAAGTCATGTAAGCTGAGCACCTCCAGGGCTGTGGGCACTGCTGCAGAACGGGCTCTTCCAAAACGTTTTGCCAAGACTCTGCATCCTCACAGTCCATCATATTTTCTCACAATTAAACCTTCTTTAATCATAAAAACCAGAAGCTAGAAGGGATTTTGAGGTCACCGAGTGCAGCTCCTGCTGTCACAAGTGTTGCTCGTCAGAAGTTGCGTTTTTACAGTTGCTCCTCCTAGAGAAGCTGCCTTTGCTTTGAGGTTTTCCCTTGCTCTTCACACTGAATACAGGTTATGTTACTTCTGCTTTGGAAAGGCACCTGTCAGCCAGGCCCATTTGGAGGTCCCAGAAAACCAAGGTCTGCTATTTATTCAGGCTTTTTGTTTGCTTATTTGAGTTGATTAGTCTCTTTCTTCCTTAAACTGCAAGATAGAGCTCATTAGAAATAAATAGAGCTGCTGGTAATCTTTGTATCTAATAGCATTAGGAAGGAAAACAATGTTAATTTAAGAGCATAAGTCAATGGCCCAAGCTTTTGCAGAATGCTGTTTGCCGTCTGAAGGAATTTACATGAGTAAGAGGACTGCAGAGTAAGAGGACTCACAGAGACAGTGAGTTATTTTGCGGAAAATCAGAACAAAGTCTATGTGCTGTTGATCCAAGTGGGATCTTTAAAAGAGGACTGCTGCACATTTTTAGGTAGCATGTAGCCCCTTGTCTGCACCATGGCATAGTGAAGAATTTCACTCCAAGTAACTACAATATATCCTCCCTCTGGGAAGGAAGAAAATAAAATAAAAGAGAAACAGAACAGAAGTGAATTCAAAACTCGCACAGTAAGCGCTTGTGTAGTGACGACCCAGTTTTCAGACCTGAATTTTGAGGAGTTTGGGTTCAGGCCAATTACACTGCTGGTGCTATCAAGCCTCATGATGTGTAATTGCAGTCCCGAACTCAAAGTCTCCCCAGCTCTGGGGAAGTTCAGATCCAGCTCTATAAGCTGTGATATTAGATTTCATCTGACTTGGTTTGCTGCCCCCGGGTGAGCTTGGATGGAAGTGTATTTCCATTGATTTGATTTCTATTTAAGTCTCAATTAAATTTCCTAGACTGGTTAACAATAGCCAGAATTAGGCCAATGCTACACGTTTTTATATCAACCAGGATTATGAATAATGGCATATATTAACACCTTTAGCTAAGTTGCTGCTTAGCTAAAAAGCAAGCAGTTCAAGAATGCAACTTTTTCAGTCTCTGGGAAAGGCTAAGAAACCTCAACATAGCAGACTTCCTTGTGAGATTTCTGCTGCTTCCCGTTTCTGGTCAAGTTAGCAATAGAGCATACGCACAAAAAGCCACGTTTGCCACATCTGAGGACAAGAGAAGGAATTTTCAAAAATCCTCCGTGACTTCAGTACTTTCAGTAGTCCACGTTTCTCCAGGACTGAGCTCTGGGGTAGGGAACCGGAGCAGGGTCTCCTGCCCCCTGGGACTGCAGTTGCTAAGGTAAAGCCAGTTTCCAGCAGGGACCTTCTGCTGAAAAGCCAGTCGCTGAAAACGGTGAGCTGTCCCCAGCAAAGTGCCTTGCTGTTGACCTTGCCGAAGACATGGTGTTGTGCAAAGACTCAGTACGGGCTTTTTTAGTATAGGATTGTTGTCAAGAATAAAGAAACTGCTTTGAAAGGTCTAGAAAGTAAGAAAAATGATGACAGAGTGAAGTGACTTGGAGTTTGTCAGAAAAGAAGGATTGCTTGGCTCAGGACTCTGTTTTAATGAAAGCTATTTAACATTCTTATAACTGATGGAAAACTTGCACACTATTAATGGGCTGTCTTTATGGCTTTAATTTATTCTTATTTCTCAGAGGCAATGGAGTAGCAGCCAGATTGCTTTATCCTGTGGTATTACAAAGCGTGGGGCTGAGAAGCTTAGCGCTGCTTTGTCACGATTTTCTCCATCTGGCAAAATAATAGAAAAAATCATCTTATGCAGAGAGAGTTTTTATTTTATTTTATTTTATTTTTTTAGGAATAGTCTTTCTCCTTCAATTCAAAGTCTTAGGGGAAGGTGGGGAGGGGAATAAAAATGTATATTTTAATTCATTAGCTGCCTTTCCTATACTCAGTTGCCATGATCCCTATCTGGAAGACTTGCGTAAACTTCTCTGAGCACTGGTTGCGTGTATCAAGGTGTAGGCAGATGGTGGTTTAAAATGCTATTCAGAGACACGAGATATTTAGAGGATCAGAGGGATGAGGTGTTCTCCATGGAGGTTAGAAGGTCCTAATCAGGGCAAGGTAATTCTTACAAAATATGATTTCTTTTCTGTAAGGGGAGAAGGAAAGGAAGAAAGCATGGATATAGTTTTCTTTTTTCTTTTTTTTTTCAACCATTATTAGTGAAAGGAAAATCGTTTTTTGTATCAATGTTTATCAAACCAGAAAGTTTTTTTAGTTGCTATAAATGGGTATAATAGATATATGCTGATATCTGCAGCTATGGCCTAGCAATAAAGCAGATTCGTGCTTCATGGCCCTTTAAAAGTTTCTTGTGTGTTTTGAAGTCACCCGATCAAGGAGAAGAAACCTCACCTTATGTGCCATGAGTCAAGTAACACAAGTAGCAAATTACTACTATCATCAGGAGTATCCTGAGTATGTTCACACAAACCGTTCATCAGATAAGCCTGAATAATAAAACAGTTAAAGGGTACTGAAGCCAGAAACAGATTTTGTCACTAACTCCGTGACTAAATGGTTTGATGGGAACAGTTCATGCAGCTCTAATAATGTGAAGGAAAGAAGGCACAGGTGCGCACGGGGAAAAAACAGATGCCAACAAAGCAAACCTTAGTAGAATCTGTGACAAAGGGAAAAGAAATTTTTGGGTCCCTGCCCTCCCTTGCCATAAAAATTATATTTCAAGTAAATATCTTTGTGTTACTGAAATGCATAGATTAAGAGGGCCTAAGATCACTGGTTTATCCTTCCGTTTCTAAACTTCTTGGTGACTTAAAGAAGCTCAAATAAAACTATCCTCTGGACTGTCCAAGTACCACATCTCTTGGTTGAGGTACCACATCTCTTGGTTGAGCTTTGAAGTCCTCTTTGGGAAAGTTGGAGCCTCAGATCTCAGTCTTGGATTTTCAGGAAGTTGTGTTGTTAGAGGTGTGTTTGCACACCTCGGTGCTACAGTGTCATTCAGTTTACTGCCAGATAGGTTGGACAAGATTCAAGGGAAATGTATCATAATGAATGTCTTTGGCAGCACATCTAGATTATTATCTTACTATTTGTTATGGAAGGCTCTAGAAGCACCAGATGAGAACAGAGGCTAAGCACTGTGCCTATACACACTGCCCCCGAAGAGCTTAATGTTTAAATAGAAAAGACGGATGAATAGTAAAAAATGAGACATTTGGAACTAAATCCCACAAAGTCCCTAGCAGAATGCAGCACAGAAATATTTTGCAAGTCCCAAATCTCCTACATCCTGCCCCAGAGCATTAGCTACCAGCCTGTGACTCAACGATTTCCTCATCTTTGCTTTTGTACAATCTACCCATAAAGCTGCTCAAGATTTGCAGTTGCATGCCCCAGTTGTAAAGAAAGCATTAATTATGAGCTTTGACCATTAGCTTTTGGAAAGACTAGCTCAAAATACTATTGGATATAATTCAGGTAAAGAGATTCCCCCATCTCCTGAGCACAAGCACCTTGCCGGCCGTCCATTAGCCGAAAATTCTCAATAATGCCTATTCGTCCCAAAATCTGATTGGGTGTTGGTCTGTGTTTGCAGAGCGTTGTTTTGAGGAACCATTGGCATGGCTATGGGTTATATGCCGGATAGCCCCAACATCACAGCAGACCTACTCTGAGCCAAAACAGAGTGATCCTATGTCTGCCAGATGTGGGTCTTACAGTGCTTTAGGTTTCATTATGGGACACTGCCACAAAGTTCCTTGTTTACCCTAGCGATGGAGTAAGATAGGAAATTTAAAACAAGGTTTTGCCTAGTAAAAGCAGGCTACTGTTGTTCAGAGAAAGATAGTCTGGGCAGCCGCGGGAAGGCAGAGAGCCACTCACATTTTGTCACTGTACCTCAAGACCCCGAGAACATTTTCATTGGGAAGGAAAACTACATTCAAGAATTTAGGCTGATTAAGTCTTACTGATATCCGATCCTTCTTGTTTAGGTGTGTCAAATGGAGCTGGAACAAGGTCTTAAAAGTCTTTTCTCGGCACGTGTCTGATGCGCACCATGTGGATAACGTTTGCCTGTTGATTTTGTCATTCACAAGGAGCTCTATCTTCAGGTCTGTGGGCTTGTTTGAGCAGTTGGCAAAGTAAAAATTCAAGTGGCAGTAGATCAAGTAGAGACCTTGTTTCTCTATCACCAGCTCTTCATTCTTGCACTGGATGTCTTCACAAATACCCTTCTCGACCAAGCTCAGTTTTGAACTGTTTACTGGACGTGACACTAGGAAAAAAAGCAAACACATTTTAAAATGAGCCACTAAACTCTAGTGACCTAAATTCAGGTTTTTTGGACTGAAATAGTATCTCTTGGTAAATGGGGATACCTGTTCTGTGGCTTTCCTGCCAGAAACTCCAAGAGAGGGCCCTAATGCCAGCTGAGAGGTTCACACTTAAAAGTGGGGTGTTAAGTCCCAAGGACTCTGCGGCCCTTTGGGAAACTCCAGACAAAGAGATGCAGTGAAAATGGCTTTCTGCAATACTCAAGGGAAATAATGGGGATATACACTCGTGGGTGTTGGGGGTGGGGGAGAACGTATTTCCTTCTTTACATTTTCTTATCAAGCTAAAAAACGTGTCTATGTGATCAGATAGGGGATTTACTGAAACCCCACGTTGTCAAGAAAATTAAGGAATTTTTTCCTATAAAATGCCCGCTTCATCAAAAAGCTATTTACCACTGAATTCATTTTGAATAATACAAATAGCCTGCTCTCCAGCCAGCTCTGAAGCGCGCATTTACCAAAGCTTGCCCTCAGCTGGGCTCCCCACTGACCTCTCATGTACGCGACGGCTGTCTTGATCGGGACATTCTGTAGGATTCTTAAATAGTCTTCGGAGGTGTTCCCTGAAGGAAACAACAGATTAAATAACCACTCGAGAGCTGTTTGGGTTGTGGGAGATGCTGTCAGCTCCCCAGTGTCAGTGATCCCCACCTCATACTGTCCAGGGCAGCCTTCAGCTGTCCCCAGATGCCCCATCACCTCTGGAAGCGAGGCACGTGAGTGCTTGCTCCTTCATTCCTGGATTTCCTTAAATAGATGGAATTGTATGCATTCTTCAAGACCTCCCTTATTTAATAATGTGGGGCTATGGACAAACTGCACACGCAGTTTGAGCACTGCACCTGCTCCAACGGATCAGCAGCTAGAGCAGAGTGTCCCAGTGCTGTTTTTCACTGTGTGCTCAGCAGTGAATCCGATCCACACGTGGATTTTGTAGCAGTGTTAACTCTACTGGTAAACTTCTAGCAATCCAAGGCCCTGGCAGCATATAGTTATCACTTCAAAAAACTGCAGTTGTTATTTACTTCTCAGAAATTATGTGGGGATAAGCCTATTTAACCATCCTAAAGGGCTGAACTATTTGCATGGTACAGTTATAGACGGACAGCTTTGCACCTGTAGCGGGAACATGGCTCTGCGAATGACTTTTTTGGAGCTTTTGAAATGTTACTCTGTTCTCTTAGAGGCAAAATGTGGATGTCTGCAAGGCTGCACGTGAAGCTGTTGACTGTTCAGAGGTGAGAGCTGCTGGCTAGAGCAGACAACACAGCTTTGCTTGTACCGGGGTCTTCCTACAAAATCACCATCAGAGAGGAACTCTCACGCACCCAGCCACCACCTTAACTCTGCGCAGGAAGGACGCTGGGCTGGCGGGAGTCACGGGAAGACCCCCAAACCCCACAGCACAGGCCAAGGGAGGGCAGCAAGGAGGGCAGAGCAGGGGATAGGTCCCTTTAACGGGGTCACAGGTGGGTACTTTGGGGTGGCTGTGCCTGCACCCCTGGTCCTGCATCCCTGGCCCTGCACTCTCAGCCTTGCATCGCCACATCCCGCACCCTTGGCCTTACACCCCACTGCTTACCCTTGTGCATCACATCCTCACCAGATACATTTCATTTTCTCGTCTGCTTTGTGTAAGCCTTTCCTTATCCTTTTTTAGCGAGGGAGACTTGCAGTGGCTGACACCGATTATTTCTGCTGTGTTCTGTGTCTATGTAGAGAAAAGATTGCACAGCCCTGCAGTTTCTGGGCTGTATGACCACATATGAATGCATCATCTAGATTCACTCTCAGGAAAATAGCGTATATCCTTATGTGTCCTGGGTGGCTGCACCCAGGCAGATGAATTATTATTTCCCATTGCATTGACCTCTTCTTCTTTATATCTCCTGGCCCTGCCGCAGATGTGGATGTGCCTAAGCAGCACAGATAGGACATTGGGAAAGTCCTATCTTTTATTCTACAGCTGAATACAAAGAATAACGCATGAATGAGTTTCAGTAGAGCCACGCAAAACTACCTCCCCCTATCCCAGGTTTTGCACATCACCCAAGCTTTCCTATGAGTCAGTTCATAAAATTGGTATGATAGTCACCTACACTACAAGGTTCTCAGAAGGATGGATAATACACGGAACTGAACTCTGCTCCCAGTTATAACATAAAAAGTAAATTTGCAATAACTCCACGAAATAACTGCAATAACAGGTGATATATGAACATGAACAACATAGAAAGGGTCTACTAAACACACAGTGAGCTAAGGATCTAAGTTTTCATAAAATTCCTGAAACTAAGGGTACAAGAAAGGAAATTCAAATCTCCAGACCTCTATGGCGTCTGCTTGGCCTGATTTTTGAGAGATTCCTGGTCAGGAGGGTAGATAAGTCAGGGAGAAGCTGGTCACATGTACAAGTTGCACTGACTGGCGTTTTATAACATTGCCATCTTCACACTTGTACCACTGGAGAAGCAGGCTGTGAATGTCTTGAAAGAACTGCAATCTTCTTCTAATTGCATTAACCGAAACTCTCTGGAGGGAAGCAGGTGCTCCCTATGCTCTAAAAATGAGTGGGTTGTGTACTGAACTCCCTTGGCTGTGCTGGAAATCCCCAGAGAAAGAGCAAAACTTACTTTCCTGCTGTTAGTCATGTCAATGTAGTTTCTAGTGAGTGTGCAGACGCTACACAAACAGGGGGATGCGGAATAGGATAGGGGAAAAAAAAAAAAAAGAAAACCCTTCTGGCCTTTACTTCAGACCAACGCTGTTAGAAAGGCAGCAGCAGTCTCTGGTAAGGGGTATTCAGCAGCCCTGAGCCCGCTCACCTTGCAGATGTCCTGCAGGGAGGGAGACTATTTTTATAGAAACTCAGTGGCATTTAAGGGGGTTTTACCCTGTAAGGCAGAAAATCCCCTGCTGCTCAAGCAGACGCTGGAAGCTGCAGCCCTGTAACTTTTGCTAACCCAGCACAGCGCTGCGCCTGCACACAAGCAGGCTGCCGCTTCCAGGAGCCGTACCCGTCCCGAGCTGTCGCAGGAGACTCGCGTGGCATCTCTCCAAATCGACTCCTTGCTGATCGGACTGTGTTTAACGTTTGCAGATGTGTACTTACATTCATTGACGTCAGCAAGTTTTATATGTGTGTGTATGTGCGAGCCATTTATTTGGTGACATCAGCTGTGTTTCTGAGAAGACATGGTATGGAAAAAAAATTGTTGTATAGAGACATTTCCTGTCCTCGCTCTGCTGAGGCAGCTTACAACCATTTTCCAGGTTTATTTCTCAAGTTAATTCTTTTATCTGAAACGTCACTGAAATTACTAGAGTTTCAGCGCTGATCAGTGGATACCTTCAGTCACATCACCTAATTGGCTTTGCGCTAATAGCACGTAAACCAGAAGTAATCCCGTGGAAGCCAATAGGATTATAGCAGCTTAAAAGCATA